GACCCCCAACAAGTATATATTTACTTATGCACACAGCCAGACACATGTAAAGCACTCTTTAGAATTATGTGTACAGATTTGTTCTAAGAGTAGTGATAATTGTACTACAAAGTACAAACCTTATGCTACTTTTGTACCACAACAAATGAAGTAGTGGGATCCATGGTGACACACAATTTTTTTCCGACAATTTCCAATGGAGGACCCCATGGTGGTAGTACAAAAATAGTATGACATTTGTAGTGTGGTTAGAATTTTCCTTGTTCTAATGTTGGTGTTTTCCAGGTTGTGGGCAATGCAAATGCTCTTATGCAATCTGATGATTGGGCTGCACTGATCACAGATGCAAAGTCGAGGAGTTGCTTCAAGGATATGGAGAGTATCCCTAAAGATTTATTGATTTTGAAAGGGTCGAGACATAGTCCAGAAAAGTTTTCTTCTAATGATAGCAGGAGTTTTAGGACTCCTGGGCAGAGATATAGACAGTTGGATATGCATCCAGATGCGAAATCCGGTACACAATCTGAAGGTGAAGATAGGTTGAATAATTTTCCTCGTAGAAATGGTAGTTATAGAGATATAAAGGCAGCCGATAATTCTTTGGATAATCTGGGGCATTCAAGTGACAGATCTCGAGAACAACATGGCCTTGCTAAGCGGCAAAATACTTCAAGAGGCTTGTAGACGAGTGAGAGTGAACAGGATGCTGGTATCTGCAGTCTCTGAGCTTGCGAGGTGCTCAAACGACAACGATCGAGAAAGCAAATCGGGCTGTTCAAATTTGGAAGTCAGGCTTGACACGTCAGCGGCCGCTCGGATTTGATGAATGAGGTCAGGAAAAAATGATGGTATTATGATGGTGGGAAAGCTTTCACAACTTTGGCATTCAGAGTTAATTTTGTAAGTTTCGTAGTTTAGAATTCAGGAGAAATGTGGCAAATTAGCCAATTGTTGATGGTGAATTGGAGGGGAGAAAATTCTAGAACAAAAAGCACACAGTGAAAGTTGTAAAATTGTGATGTTTATATAAAAATTATTTTGGAAATTATCATGTGAAAGAGTAGAATAACCGGTGATAGTGAATAATAAACTATTGTATATCGAACTGATGTTGAACGTTGCGATTTGATTATGATGCTAAGTTTATTTCCAGCTCTCTGCTCTAAACCTCCTCCGTTGTACCCAGAATCTAATCATCTCTGCTCTAAGTATTCTGAGTTATTCTCAGAATCTAATCATCAACATTATTTTAGTGAACATTTATGTATTATAAACTTCCATAAAACTTCCACTAAACTAGCAAAAGTACTCAAAACTTGTAACCAATCGTTCGAATAAGGGTTAATTTTCACAAAAACCCCCTGAACTTTGAGAGGTGTTGCAAATAAACCTCCTGAATTTTGTTTATGTCACTTAACCCCCTTGAACTATGGGGTGTCTTACACCCCCCCGCGCTAGAAAACCCAAACTTTACCTTATGTGACCTAGCCCCATACCTGTAATTTGCAAATAATTGAATTTACCTTGAGAGAAGAAAACTCAAAATTTTGGGGATATGTTGCGCGTAAATAGCAAGCGACAAAGTTATGAGATCTTTTTTACTCAAAAGGCATTTTAATTATTTACAAATTATATTGGTTTGGTTGTGTGTGTGTTTCTTTTGCACACACTTCCTTTAAACAACAATACATGTATAAAAATAAGAACAAATTTTTGCTTTAAACCCATTCCACCTTTTTATTACCGGAACCGACGGACTTTTTTTTTATTGCTGACGTGGCCGAGAAGTGGGTCGATTCCGCTAAATAAAATGGGAGTCCGTCGGTTCCGGTAAAAAAGAGTTGAAATGGGTTTAAAACAAAAATTTGTTCTAAAAATAACGACATTTATCGATAAGAGTTCTCCGACACTCCACCCGGCTGAACATTTACACGCTTCCTTGCATGCGGTATTTTCCTCGGGAAAAGAGCGTTCACGTATTCCACGGGAAGGTAGTCCTACATCCCGCTGTATCATCATCAGAATCTCATCGCACCCGCGACTCAAGATCGGTGACGGCGATTGTTGCCCCGTCGCCAATTTCTGCATTGGCAACGGGACGCAAGCCGTCGCCTAAGGCTAGTCACCGATGCAGACATTGGCAATGGGAACACACCCGTCGCCAATGCTTGCAGCGGCGGTGGCTTGCCACCGAGCATTGGCGACAGACAGACGGGTGCGGTCTCATCGCGCTAAACTGCTCGCGCCCGACCCAAGCCTATCCCCATTGTCTCCCAAAGTCTCAGCCTGAGGTATAAATTTTGAATTCACTGTAAAGATTGTAGCTTCGAGATGGTTCGGTCGTTTGCTGCAGACACGGTAGATTTGTTGGTTTTTGTTGTGAATTGGAAGGGTTAGTGCAGTTATGGTACGACCGTAAAGGTGATGTCTTTTTAGGATTTCAGTTGAGTTGTACTGTTATGATACAGTGATTTTTTTAAACTACTAAAACATCCCAGAAGAGTATTTTTTTTTTTAAATGCTACAGTATCCCATTTATACTACAGTGATTTTTTCATTGAAAATGATACATTAAAAATACTACGATAAATTATTGTATTATTTATTGTCGTATGAATAATGATTCTTGGATCCTCATTATTATAGAGCAACATCTTCAAATAAATATTACTGTAGTATTATTTTAAAAAATGATGCCGCATTTTAAAATATATTATTGTAGCAGAGATGTGACACTGTAGCATTTTTTTTTAAATTGCTGTAGCATTTAAAAATAATCAAATTTATTTACTATGTTTGATTTATCTTATTTGACTTATCTCTAGTACAATCGACTTTTGTTGTGTGAGAATATATATATGTATTCATTTTTGTAGTCAGATTAAGAGATGATCTGATCTTTTATTTTCTACCATCCAATTCAAGAACACAAGGGATATACAATGTTCACTGTTGGCTATTCATTATATCAAAAAATATCCGCGAACAAAATTTTCTTTTGGCTATTCATTATAGCAAAAGCATAGGTATATTTGTAGTTGAAATAAAGAAGGTAAATGATCATTTGATTTGATATAAATTGAAATGCATATTAGATAAACAAATTCACTGAGGAGATGTTAGAAAAGCTTGGGTTGTGAATCTTGTGATGGGTTTGAGAATGAATGTTTTACTGGTATAACACTGAAAAGGGATGATTACTATGCTGGTGAGAGGAATATTTTTCACCAAGGCAAGGAATGTGTACTTTTTCTTTTTCTTTTCCTTTTCTTTCTTTTTCCTATTTTTATTTTGGTCTTAAACTAGTTTCCCATGTGAAGATTGTAGACTGGACATGACCGATAGAAGGACTTTCCGTTAGTGATGGATTTGAGGCCATTGATGACGGATTACCATGTCATCGATGCCCTATTTCCTACTAGTGCAAGTTCACCAACTCTGTGATTAGAGAGGGGTTGATGTAAATTTGTAAAAGAAGATCATACTTCTTGAAAAAATGGAGATATAAGTTTGCAAAAATATGAGAAAAATGAAGAAACTCAGTACTAAGTTTCTCCATTGAACTTGGTAGTGATGTGGACTGATCTGGTCTATACATCTATATAGAGAGGGGTTGATGTAAGTTTGCCAAAAAACCCCACTTTTTTTTAAAAAAAACTCTCTCCCCCCCCCCACCCTTCTCAATCTCTCCACTCTCCTCCCCTTCCAAACCCGCCGCCATCGCGACCTTACCTCCGCGGCAGCTACCTTGACGCTGTCGCGACCCCTCTTTTGCTGTCACGATCACGCTATCACTACGACCCCGCCACCGCCTCTCCCTTCCAACCCCGTCGGCTCTGCCTCTCCCTTCCAACCGGCCGCCAACGCTCTTCTCTTCCAACCCGCCTCTACCATGATCCTGCCATCCACGACCGCTACCTTGTCACCCCAACGACCTCGCATTCACTACTGCGACCCAACCACTGCCTCTCCCTTCCAACCCCGCCACCGCCCTCCCTTCCAACCAGTCGCCGCCGCCCCTTCCCTCCAACACCCCCGCCGCCTCCTCTCCTTTCTAACCCAGCAGCCGCCTCTCCCTTCCAACACCCCCCTGCCTCCTCTCCTTTCTAACCCCATCAGACGCCTCTCCCTTCCAAACCCGCAACCTCTCGCTTCCAAACGGCGGGGTCGGGGTCGCGGCCGCGACGACGAGTTTGGACGGGAAGGAGCATAGTGAATGAGGGGAGAGAGGGGAGAGAGAGAGAGAGAAGGGGGGAGAGAGAGATTGAGCAGTAAATGAGGGGAGAGAGAGGGGGAGAGGTTTTTTTAAAAGTGGGTTTTTTTTTTTTGCAAACTTACATCAACCCCTTTCTATCTAGATGTATGGACAAATCAGTCCATATCACTACCAAGTTCAATAAAGAAACTTGATACCAAGTTCAATGAAGAAACTTGGTACCAAGTTTCTCTCTCTCTCTCTCTCTCTCTCTATATATATATTATATATATATATAATATATTTATTATATATATATATATATATATATATATATATATATATATATATTATATATATATATATATATATATATAATCCGTGCATCATATGAATAGACTTTTTATCAATAGATAGAAACTTTGGTGGATGATCCACTTAAGTTGACATAAGTTTCTCTCTCTCTCTCTCTCTCTCTCATATTTATATATATTATATATTATAATATATATTATGTGTGTGTGTGTGTGTGTGTGTGTGTGTGTGTGTGTGTGTGTTATATGGCAGTCACCATACCAAAATAGAAATATCGGAAGAATACCTGCATAAGCCCAAGCGAGCTATGGTCTGAATCAACTTAGAAGCTCAAAAGCCCAGTCAGAGCCGAGTCCCTCGGCTAGACGAGCAGACAAGCCTTATTCCGATCGACAGGTCATCATGACCGACTCGAAGAACGGGATCAGTCGACCCCTCGCAATTAAGACGACTCCTTGAGCAAACGATTCGACTACCGCGTTGCCAAATCATAATGATGTCTCGCAGATCAACCCGCCTCGGCCAAAGGGATAAGAGCCGGCCAAGATCATTTCAGACATCAATCAACACAAAAGTACTGATTAGTCCCATCAAGATCTCCATTCTGACAACTCTCGTGCACCAGCCGCTTATTCGGATTACAAGTTATTTACCAAAGAATTGTCATGATGCTTCTCTGTGCACGAATGACTTCTCCTCCAATTCCCAGCCGCCACCTGGAGAGAGAAGGACGACCACACAGCCGACCTACCCTACACCCTGCCTCTTCTGACAAACCCAGAGCATTGAGAAGACCTTTCCCCCTTGACACTGAATGACTTCCCTCCCAGTCGCCTGCCGACACCTGAAGGAAGAAAGACAACTTAGCAGCCTACATATATAATATATCATTATAATAATTTAAATGATGTCAAATTGTTTTTTCGTTAGGTTTACGGTCACTGTTGCTAATATAATATATCATTGAAATTAATAATTTAAATGATATCAAATTGTTTTTTATTTATTAATTATGAGATTTAAAATTTCTATAACATTTTTTAAGTATATTATAATTAAAAACACTCGTTTCTGAGACTATATATCTAAACAACCCTTTAAAATCATACTTTTAAATTGGGTACAGGCCGAGAAAACACAATCTATGTTTAGCAAGTTGCGGAAAGTGGTTGTGAATTGCACAAATAACAGTTCAAACTTAAGAGGGTATTGGGCAATTTGATGACGAATGCGGAGGGTATGTTGGGAAAAATCAAAAGTTTGGGAGTATTTGAGATATTTTGGATTTTGTTTGGAGTTTAATAGGATAAACAATATCTGCGAGATACTACATCAAATGCCTCTTTTTCAAAATTGACCCAAAAAATAATGGATAAATTACATTGAATGCCCTAAGGTTTATAGGTTTGACAAAATATCATCTAAGATTTTAAAGCTAACACTTTCTCCTCTTCTTTTTAAATTTTAATTCTAATAAGTCACATGACACTCATATCACCTTTAATGCCAAAGATACTCCTCCCTATCTAAAGAGAAGAAATGACCAAGTTTTCTCTTATTTTTAATTGGTTAAATTGTATTTACCCATGTCAAAATTCCATATTTGCAATTATTCGTCCTATTTTTTTTTCTTTATGACTTTCCTCCTAACATTTGTTGACATAAAAAAAAGTATCCACAACCTGATTTAATCATTTTCTTGTTGAGAATCATAATTTTGAAATATAGTATAATATAAAAAATCAAATTTCTAAAATTTGAATATGAATTCAAAATTTTAATATTTATAAGAAGAAAAGAAATCTTGAAATTTCTAGTTAGTCAAAATAAAAAAAACCTTAGTAGTGTCTATGAAGGAAATATCATATATAGTTATATTTATAGTCTATATTACTTTTTAAATTTTATTGATTTATATCTTTTTTAGACTTTAAAAATAATTGTGATATATTTCTCAAAAAATAAATGTAGTCATTTTTAAGTTGGAGGGAAAATTGCTAACAAAATAAACTTCGTGAGCGAAATTGGTGAAAATTAAACATTAGATGGGTTTAGTGCAACTATGAGAAACTTTAGGAGAGATAACTATATATATATCAAAGAAAGAAATATGGCTATTTCTTCCATTAAAGAGAAAGAAGATGGTATCTTGGACACTAAAAGGGTGACATGAGTTTTCATGTGACCTATGAGATCAAAATTTTAGAATGATGGGGAAAAGGTGTAACTTTCAAAACCTCAGGGAGATTTTTCGCCAAACCTATAAGTCTCAAGGGGGTTTAGTGTAATTTAACCAAAAATAATTCCTCCAATCCACATTAGAGGTGCACCATGTAGCAATCTAGGGATTATGTGGAGTACCCAAAAGTTTTGGGTGTTTTTTTTTTTTTTTTTTTTTTTGGGTTGAAAATATCCCCTCTGGATCAGAAGAGTACCTAGTATCAATTTAAGGACCTAATTAATAGCAATCTAAGGGTGTGTTATTCATTTGGGATTGCTTGGTAAGGCTTGGATAATTTCCGGGCAGGACTAGGACATTTGATTTGAGTCCTGGGACTTTTTTTAAGGATTTCTAAACTTTTGAATGTGTTCTTGGACTGAGTGGTAAATAATTATTAACAAACATAACCATTATTTTATCAAAAAACATATAGTTTTCTATAATTATTAATAATTTTTGTTTTAATTTTCTATAATTACAACTTAAGATCAAACTTTTACTCAAGGTACTTTTTATTTCTGCATTTAGAAGCATATGGTGGTAATAGCTCATTTTTGAGGTTCTGGCCATGGAGGAGCAAAGCTTGGTCCTCTTGCCTCTTGTTTGTTTGCCTCCGTGCCTTCTGTGGCCTTGAGTTTCACTAAAAAAAATTATGTATACAATGCTTAACCGTGGCTATAGGATATAATAGGATATGTTGATTGGTTTTAATACAGTTAATTTAAGTTAGTATATCCTAACACTATTTTTATAGACGTTCGCGTTGTAAATTATACGGTAATTTTGATGATTATTTTTAAATATTATGTAGGAATTCTAAAGGACTTTGAGGAGGCATTGTGACTGATATTCTGATAGTCTTTCGGGTTTGGGTAAGTGGTGAATTTGTACATTATTCGTTGTGTATTTTTCATATAAAATTACATTGACTATATGTAAGTTTGTTATGATGGATTAAATCCTTTTGTACGGTTGCTAGCGTACAAATTTCTGATTGGATTGATGCACTGGGTATTTGGTATTAGCCTATGGTTATTTTATTTATCGATATTTATGTCTTGTCATATAGGAGGTTGAGATGCATATGTGGTAAATTTTAGTGTTGGTTGGTCTTTGGCATTTCTATATAACATATTTGATTATATGAACTTTATTTATTTTTTTATACATGCATCTCAAGTCAATATACCGTTATATGTCGGAGATAAGTAAATCATCTAAACATGGCTCAATGTGCCTCTATGAGGTTTTTATTTTAGCGTTAAGAGCCCAAGTTTGGATCTCACCGTCCCGACCACGGGCTATATAATAGTAGGGTTTGCCAAGTCAACCAGAATATCGAAGTGTTGACCGCATTGAGATGTGACCTGCTTATTTCCATTGCATGTAAATATTTTAAAAATATTGCATTATGCTTTTCTACTATTTTGGTGTTTTGCTTATCAAGGCATTTTTAGTTTTGCAAAACTAGTGTGTAATATATGAATTTATCCACTTATTGAGTTGTAAACTCATTGAGTTGTATTCATTCTTTTCAGAGACTCGGGATTAGGTGGAATTGATGATTTCCAAATTCTTAGAACGGAGTAAAGAATAAAATTTGAGATTGTTATTGCCTTCTAGGTAAAGGTTAAATAAAGTCTTTGATGCTTAGTTGATAATTTAAGAATTTCGTAATAATGAGATTCTTTCTTTTAGGTCGAGTTTTATTTTAAGTCGAGGAATATTTGTTTATATAAGTTAATTGAATTAATGTTGACTTTTGGATTATAGAGAATATTTATTGCTGGTTTTATTTTAATGATGAGACTATTTCGGTGGTCTCTTGATGAATGAAGATTTTTAGAGGATATTTTCACAGGTTTAGTCCGGCTCTAATGTTCCTCGAGTTCCGGAAATTAGGGCCGTGACAGATTCTTTGACGAATTCAAGAATTTTTTTCAATTAACAATAATTTTTTTTGTGATATTGGTCCCTTACATCATTAATATTTTAAAATTAGTCCTTCAAATCATTAAACTTGCTCTTAAATCATTAATATTTTAAAACTTTAGACTTCACTATTTCTCTAGAAGTGAAAACGTGGAAACAAACAAGATTTTACGCATGAAATATTTGAAACTTTTTAATACATTATGATAATCGTAAACTTTTTCGCAGCCATGTTATAGTTTATAAATAAATCTAAAACAAACAAAATTAAGTATTTGACTACGCGCAAAGCAAGTGCATCTAAAAGGAAGGCATCACCCAGACGCAATCTGTCCGCACTTGTTCAGCATCACGTTCAGCATGTGTATGTAGTTTCTTGGTTTTCAGAGAGTAGTACACCCCTCCCCCCCTCCTGGACGCAGCACCATCACTAAATCTTGGCAGATATATCCTGTTTCCCGTCTCTTTTGATGGAGAGACTACCGAAATAGAGCTCCTCGCATCCACAAATATCATCTCATCTCCCAAGTCATCGACATTTCTCCACGCCATCTTCGACTCGTCGAGTCTAGACACGGTGACCCTTTCCCCATCGTTGAAAACAAACACAGACATGAGCTCCTTGTTTTCCGCCGACTCCACCAGAAAGCAGTCATGACCCTGCAAACAATTGCTCCTCCTTGAGAACAACGGCCTAGGCCTATCAAGAACGGTCCACGTCTCCTCTTCAGGGTTATAAACACCGAGGTTTCCTTCCCTACCCAAGCAATAGAAGAGTCCTTCGTGAAACACCGGGTTGTTGCAACCCACCTGAAATGGGAGGTTACTCTCAAACTCTTCTTGACTCCATTCATCCTCTCCGTGTCGCCACACGTAAATGTCAACCTGAGATTCTCTCACAAGAGAACCACTTACTCCCATCAACCTGAAATCTGAACTAGTTGGCACAGACGAGAAGCATACGCCATCAAAGCAGCATTGAAAATGCCTAGGAAACGGGGGATCAATGATTTCCTCCTCCTCAACAAACATATTTACTATGGACAGGTCTTCGTCGTCGTTAATGAAGACCACCCACCCGTCCTTGGAGAAACATGGAGCAAAGTAATTATCTACTGTTATTTCCTCATTCATGTCGACGGACTTCCCATCCAAGGGATCGATAAGCTTGGACTGGCCCCTGCTGGTATCTGGTACATACATGAGCTTCGGCCAGGGCTTTATATCATCACAGATAGAGTCTGAGACCCACCTCCAACTCTTGCACACTGAACCGAGTCGGATTCGATCCACGAGGGGGAGATTATGTACAATCAAACCCATCATGTCGGTTGGGATGTCAGTCCATGACCTGAATTTTTCCTCATCAATCTTTTCTTCTTTGCTGATTATTGCCATTTTGAGATGAAATCTGTATCAAGACAAGAACAAGAGTATAGAAACATAAGCAAACTTCTAAGATAAACCAGAAGTGATAGATATGAAAGAGTTAAACATGATCGCGTCAGTTTTTTTTTTTTTTTTTGCATTTTCATTTAAAAGATATTCATAATGGACAAATTTTCAAAACCGCCCTTTTTAGGATTTTATTTGCAAAAACCGACCCCTTTTGAAATTAATTACAAAAACCGACCTGTTTTCAGCCCAGCGCTGAAAACAGGTCGGTTTTTGTAAAAAGTTCTCCGAAACATCACGGGAGTTGAACTCCCGTGAAGTTTAGCAGATTTTTAAACTTCACGGGAGTTCAACTCCCGTGAAGTCTAATTTCTTCTAAAACTTCACGGGAGTTGAACTCCCGTGAAGTTTCGATTCCAACTCTCTCCTTCTGTCTTCGTTCTGTTTCTAGGAGTCAGCATCGTCTCTTTGTGCTTTGGGAAGGTGAGATGAGAATCCAGATTCCTCATTAATTAATTCTTCTCTCTTCGTTCTGTTTCTCGGAGCAGCAGCGTCTCTTTGTGCTTTGGGAAGGTGAGATGAGAATCCATATTTTTCATTAATTAATTGACTCGTGATTTATGATTATTCTCCGTAGATTCAATTTAATTATTTTGGTGGGGAATTAAAGATGAAATTTTTAGGGTTTGTAAACTGTAACTTGGATCTGGAGAAAGAGCGAAGAGAAATAATTGTTTGGGACTTTGATCGGGCCTATCATTTGGAGAAAGAGCGAAGACAAACATCACCATCGTGATCGGCGACCGAGAGATGAAGATCGCCATTGTGAAAGCGCTGAATTTGATGATTCGGATCAAGAGATTGAGATTTCCGCCATTAATGCACTGAAGAAGTTTGGATCGGTGGAAAAATAATCAAAATATAACCCACTTTAAAATGAATACTATAGAGAATTTAGAAACGGCGCTGGGTTTGTTGAATTAATAATACTTCACGGGAGTTCATCTCCCGTGAAGTTTTTAGAAGAAATTAGACTTCACGGGAGTTGAACTCCCGTGAAGTTTAAAAATCTGCTAAACTTCACGGGAGTTCAACTCCCGTGATGTTTCGGAGAACTTTTTACAAAAACCGACCTGTTTTCAGCGCTGGGCTGAAAACAGGTCGGTTTTTGTAATTAATTTCAAAAAGGGTCGGTTTTTGCAAATAAAATCCTAAAAGGGGCGGTTTTGAAAATTTGTCCTATTCATAATAGAATCCAAATACAAAATTCATATGTGTTGTGCGTGGCGGAAGCTTCGAGTGCAACACGAACAATTACTCGAGATAAATCACAACTAATAAACAAATCACAATCATAGCAAGAACAAACTATTTACTTGGTTCGACAAGTTGCCTACGTCCACGGGACAAGAAGGGGATGAGGTTTTCACTAATAGAGAATAAGAGTACAAACTGAGATTACAAATCACTCGAAGGAACAAACTAATCTCACCAACAACTCTCTTTATCTCTCCAAATAAACCCTAAACAAACAGCTCAGAAAATACCTCTTTTCTGTGCTCCAAATATCCCAAACTGTAGCCTTAAGAAACTCTAGAACGTGTATTGGTATTTATACAAACATCAAAACCCAATAAGAACAGGAAACACAAAACAGGCCCATACCCGCTACGCGGTCAACCGCCAAAAGCTCGCGGTCGACCGCGATCAAACGACAAAGAGTCAAAAAACCATTACAGGGTATCGCGGTCGACCGCGCCAAGCCCTGAACCAAATCTCAGGTTTGTGCACGTATGCGGTCGACCGGCCTTGTGCCGCGGTCGACCGCCAAACTCCAAAACACTCTACTGAGCTCCAAAACATGTTCTTCTTCGAAATTCTTCGCGGTTTCTTCAATATGAACGTATAAAGTTATAAGCCATAAAAAGAAGAAGTATATAAAGTTACAGAGGCACTAGAGTCAGATTCATAACGCACATAATTAAGGACAAGCTAAGTATAGTCCATGAAGAGTTAATGATATTCTATCAAAACCTATATAAAGGATAAATTTAGATCTCTGCACAGAAACTTAACCCATTATATGAAATTGATTTACTACTTTACGTCCTCCCCCGTGAGTAAGTGCAACCCAGATGCCAAAACCAATCAAAAAGTAAACTATTCTATCTAAAATAGAAAAAGATCGGGACCTCATAGAAACCTCTCAAAAACCAAGAGAAACTGGAATGCCATTTCTCATAATATAAGAGCAATAAGTCAAAATTTTCAATAATATATTTGTCTAAATTCTATAAAGCTAAGTACTCAAATACATTCCGCGCGTATACAACTAACTCCAATATACATTCCAGCACCATCTTTTGGGGAAAATATCAATGCCTCAAAGAAATACGTGGCTTTCGAAATTAGCTTAATGGCACAGCTAGTTTTTCAGAACTGAGATATTTTACTTTGATACCATAATTAATTTCTTTTTGACACTTTGATAGCCTAAACCGTGGGTATCAATCAAAGTTAAAACACGAGTGAAGACTGGGGCATCAAATGTTCAAAAAGGTGTAAATTTTGGGATATGAAGTGTCGTAGGAAAATTATTAAGTACCGAATTGAAGCTAAAAAATTGGGTAAACTTTGTGCTAACTAGCCCTTTTCTAAGAAATTAAAAATGCAATCGAGTATCGAATCCGTACCAAAACAATCCTTGCAACTTTCGAGTCCGAGGCCCAACGGCGACGAGGTTATAGGGTTGGCGACCTCTCTGCTTGGTTTTTATATATAAAGAGGCCTACAGCCCTGTTTCTACTAAAACTCAAAATAGAACAATTTTCTAATCCTACTCCGACTCAAGATGAGCGAAGTTCTAACTTACTGTTTCCTATTCCCATTGGATGTGGGAACAGAAAATTAAGAGAGAGAGAGAGAGAGAGAATATAGGTTTCCTTCTCCTTTTGTGATTGGTGAGAGAATTCTAATACCATAATATTATATATATATATATATATATTATATATATATAATATATATATAAATATATATAATATATATATAATATGAGAAAAATGGTATACTTGCGTTACCAAGGATCCTGTAGTGATGTGGAACACATTTGTCATACATCACACCTTGAAGATTGCGAGGCCTCAACCAACTCAGAGGTGTGAGCTATGGACAAGATGTGTCCACATCAACTACCAAGGATCCTTGGCCCAAGTAAATACCCCATATTCCTCGTATATATAATATATATATTTATATAATATATATATATATTTCATCTCTTTTATGCACTTCATGATGTTTATCACTCTGATATTGTGGAAGCACGTACTAGTGAATCTGCCCTCCTCCGCGTGTGGACGTAGCGCCGCAGCGCCGAAGCAAGTAAGCCTTCTTGACCGTTGTCTTCCTGTTTAATTTGTATGTGCACATGCATGTTAATTTGATCGATCTACTCCCAATCAAATATATCTATCATCATCGGTATACGCGGTGTATTGATTCTCTAGAGTACTCTTTAACCTTTCATATGATTTGTTGTCAGTCGCTCTTGGCATTTTAATAGTTTCAGGTGACATATACACACAAACAATCCGTCATCATCGGCGGGTGGATACTTTTCTATCAAAACCTATACAAGCGATAAATTTAGATCTTCTGCACAGAACTTAACCCATAGAATTGATTTACTACTTTACGTCCGTCCCAGCCCGATGAGTAAGTGCAAACCACAGTATGCCAAACCAATCAAAAAGAAATAAACATTATTACTATCTAAAATAGAAAAAAGATCGGCCGGACTCAAGAAAAACTCTCAACACCAAGAGAAACTAGAGATGCCATTTCTCATAATATAGAGCAATAAGTATCAAAAATTTTCAATAATATATATTGTGTCTAAATTCTATAAAGCTAAGTACTCAAATACATATCCCGCGCCGTATACAACTAACTCAATATACAATCCAGCACATCTTTTGGGAAAATATCAATGCCCCAAAGAAATACGTGCGCTTTCGAAATATAGCTTAATGGCACACAGCTAGTTTTTCAGACTGAGATATTTTACTTTGATACCATAATGTAATTCTTCTTTTTGACACTTATCGATAGCCTAAACCGTGGGTATATCACATCAAAGTTAAAACACGAAGTGAAGACTGCGCATCAAAATGTTCAAAAAAGGTGTAAATTTTCGGATACTGAAGTGTTCGTAGGCAAAATTATTAAGTACGGAATTGAAGGCTAAAAAATCGGTAAACTGTATGTGCAACTAACCCTTCTTCTAAAGAAAAATTCAAAAATGCAATCGAGTGAATCGAAATCCGTACCAAAACAAATCTTGCAACTTTCGAGTCCGAGGTCCCAACGGCGACGAGAGTTTTATAGGGTTGGCGACCTCTCTGCTGGTTTTTATATATAAAAGAGGCCTACAGCCCTGGTTTCTACTAAACTCCAAAATAGAACAATTTTCTAATCCCTACTCCGACCAAAGAAGCGAAGCTTCTAACTTACTGTATTCCTATTCCCATTGGAGTGGCAAACAGAAAATTAAAGCGAGAGAGAGAGAGAGAGAAAATATAGGTTTCCTTGCTCCTTTTTGTGATTGGTGAAGCAGAATTCTAATACTAATTTAATTGTGGTCCTATATATTATATATATATATATATATATATATATATATAATATATATAAATTACTATATATACTAATATATATGAGAAAATGGTATACTTGCGCTTACCAAGGATCCTGGTAGTGATGTGGAACCACATTTGTCATACATCACACCTTGAAGATTTGGAGGCCTCAACCAACTCCAAGGTGTGATGCTATGGACAAGATGTGTCACATCAAACTACCAAGGATCCTTTGGCCCAAGTAATACCCATATTCCTCTATTATATAATATATAATTTATATATATATATATATATATATTCATCTCTTTATCACTTCATGATGATTGTGCGAAGCACGGTCACTTAGTGAAATCTGCCCCCTCCGCGTGTGGACGTAGCGCCGCAGCGCCGAAGCAGTAAGCCTGTCTGACCGTTGTCTTCGACATGTTTAATTTTGTATGTGCACATGCATGTTAATTTGATTCGATCTACTCACCAAGATCAAATATATCTATCAATCCATACGTATACGCGGTGTATTGAAGTTCTCTAAAGAGCTACTTCTGTTAACCTTCATATGATTTGTTGTCAGGTCGCCTCTTGGCATTTTAATAGTTCAGGTGACAATATACACAAAACAACGTCATCATCGCGGTGCGGGGATGAACAGGAAGGCGAATACTCCCCTCGCCCTACCCTGCCCGTCCGGTCGACCCCGTGGGTAGTGCTGCCTCATGGGCGGCACAAACAGATTCAGACCTTCTTCAACCCTATCGATGGCAGTCTTCACCATAGGAGCATACCCGAGATGCGACACAGGAGATGCTTGGGCTGCTCAAACGGCTGGCTCTTGATACAACATGACTCCGGAGAATGTTTCCTCGTGAGCATTGCATCCATGAAAACTGTCTCCCTTCCGCCTCTACTGGGGCTCCCCGACTATCCGATAACCTTCACGCTGTCGCCCCCCTCATCATCGAGTGACCACCTCGATCCTTCTGGTTGTACGGCTGTACTGGTCGTTGGTAAACAGATTATCTTCTGCAGGATACATGAAGAAGAAGCGGTAGCGGAGTGGACTAAGCGGAAGGTTGATGGTTTGGCCTTCACAGAGTGTCTCAGTGGAGGCGCCGCTTGGTTGAATGGGAAATTGTATCTGGATACCAACGACAATAGCCCTGTAGTAGTTGATTTCTCCTCTCCTGTCGTCAGCGTGAACATGCTCAGCTCTATACCAATGATGATCTACATGCTTATCGGGCCTGTTCTTAAGCAGGGCCTTCGCCTAGACGAGAATGATGATCAGTACGTGACAGGTCTAAATGCCAACAGTATCAAGCTGCTGAAAAGTACATCGACGTATAGGCAAACATTGGTTGAGTCTTGTGGAGAGATCCTCTCAGTGATTTTCTTTCTCCATCGTTATAACGACACCGTAATAAAAGTTGAAGTTTTTAAGTTGGACATCTCAAACTCGGAGTGGGAAAGGCTCGTGACCATCGGCAATGACCAGGCGATCTTTGTAGGAGAATGTGGCACCGCGTGCACCGTGAAGGATGAGAGAGTAGAAGGAAATTGTGTATACTTTGTGCAGCCGAGCTATGATGGGATGAGATGGTACAAATTCAGTCTAACTGAGCGTAGCCTCTCATATACACTGTTTTATCCTGGCCTGCGCAAAACATGGCAGAATTCGTTCCTGGCGATGACCGCTACATGAGATGTTATTATTGTTAGATATTTTGTTAACAAAAGGCAATTTTTCCTTCATGAATTATAATAAATATTGTAATTAAAACATGCAATTAAAATATGTGTAACGGATATATAATTATGGGGAACGTTACAAAATTTATGATGAACGTTACAGAATTAATTACGGGTTTTGTAACGTCTTTTCTAACCCTATATATATATCCGTATGTTGAGCTCAAAAAATATAAGGAAAATATACAACAAGTTTCTCTTGTTTTTCTTCTCTCCCCTACATATTATTTTCATCTAAATCTTAGTTTTATTCTATGGGCAACTTCCTTCATCTGAGCTGAAGCTCTGCACTCTCGCCCGAGTGCAGAGGCCGGCCGTTTCCGGGGGTTTTTACCGCTAGGGGGGAGGGAACCATCTGCGTCAGGGCGATAGGCGGGTTCTCAATCTTCTAGGGCAGTGAATACACGACTGCTCCCGTTCAGGCCTGAATTTCATACCTCTTGTTTATTTTAATTTAGGATTTACTTCATGCTATAATTTTTAATTATTTAATAGATTTCCAACAATTATGTGAAGAACTAAATGGTTGGTGATTTTTTTTTCCGAAGCTTGTTTGAAAGGTTTTTGTATTTCGTAAAAACCTCTTGTAGCCTTTGTTCGCAATAGTACTCTTATGATTCGACAAAGAATTTGGTATTCCTTCATTTGGTGAGTGCTTTTATTTATCTTTTATCTGATCAAAGGAGATGCGTTCTTCTGGTGATGATCTTGTTCTAACCAGCATGAATGTGCGCGCTGACAGGCTTGAGTCAGCTAGGTACGTGAGAAATGGCGAATTAATTCAGGATGATGGAGGTGATGCGTGCTATGGGGATCAATGTGAACGGTTTAACTGGTGTAGAATTTGAAAAGCAATGCCGAAAGATATGGGTTATATCATACTAAAAGCGTTGATACGTTTATCCTTTGATTAATGACTTTTGAGAATTTATGCCATGATCATCTGATTTTTCTGAGGGTAGGTTTTGAGAGTTTATGCCGTGTAAATGTTATGATGTAGTGTGGCAAGAGTTCCCATCCAACAACAACAAAAAAAAGGATGGGAATATTTTGGAATGCTGTTAGACTGGCAATTCACAGTGTTGTTTGTGAAGAAACAGTAATCAACCTTTGTTTAGATGAAATATAATTTTTATATTGAACTCTAAGGAATCATGCACTCAGTGCAAACGTATGACAGGGTTGAGAAGGGTACGTAGAAATGCTCTGTATCCTTGATTGTAGAGAATCTCTACAACTCGATAGTCAAATCTTGTCACTCGTTGAACCCCATGAATGATATTAATTATCTAAGTAATAAAAAAATACTTTTAATTGTGGGGCCCACTGATATAAGCAAGTAGTATTAGCCCACC